ACATAACTATACAGTGCATAAATGTACAAATTGTCTTGATACCAGATATGAATGAAGCCTTTACCAGGAGAATGCGCTCCACAGAAACGACTAATCAAGTCGAGAACAGACTGTAAATAAACACCAATGCATTTGAATGCTAGAGTTGTGAAGATCGAATACTCGACGGATTAGGTGTAAGGTGATTCGAAGATACGGCTGACGAGTATGGCTGCTGGGGTGGTAATCTTGCATCGAGTAATTAGTTCGGCGAATGCTCGATGTCCCAAGTGTACGAGAGAAAGCGGAAAGTGAGATCTACTCTCCTCTCCGAAGTGGATGTGTCGGTATAATTTCACGGGTGGACGCGTACGGATGTTTTCCACTCCTACTGCCGTCCGATTTCACCCTTAATAGGTCTCCATTACCTCTCCTCTCTCCAGTTTCTCCTGTGGCCGAGCTAGTGGCTCTTCTGACATCCGTTGCAGCTTCTGTCAACCTGATGTCATCTTCTCCTTCGCCTCCTTCCCTTGTGAGAGGCGAGGGTAGCCCACCCGTTTGCGTGGCCCTCCAACCCCGTGCATTCACAAGATAACTCCCAGAAGAGTTCCTAATCATCCGTTTGCGCTCCGTCTGGACTACTTGTTCCTTTTCCACTTCATCCGCAGCCCCCATCCCCACATTCTCTTGGGTGATGCCCCTGCCTAGAGAGGACATGAGCGCATCTTCAAGGGTGAAACTCTGTGTTTCTTTTTCATCTTCCTCTTCGACCTTGGATTGTTCACTGATTCGACTGTTGTGGCTGATTCGCTTGGCCCGGGCACTAGCACTACTATTTCCGCTAGTGCCACCGCTACCACTACCACTACGCCTCTTGTCATCGACCGAGTCACCAGCAGTAAGACCACTTTTCCCACTTTGACTGCGGCGAATAAACCATCGGGACGTGTATGTTGATACAGGGGGTGTCTGAATGGGCAACTCGGACGAATTCGAGTCAAAGGGCATGATACTAACACGAACACCAGAATCAGCCCCTCTGCTCCTAGCTGAGCG